ACTCAACTTATATTGCTGGTGATTTGATTTGATGATTTGACCTACTGATTTGAGGCTTGTGACTTGAACTAGGGGCTTGTGAGCACGAGCGGGTTTGCTACCTGGGTACAGCCCTAACATACAGAGATGCAGTTTCCCTGTTTCCCTTATTGAGACGACTTGATAAACAACCTACGAAGCTCGTCTTTACATTGAAAGCTGAAATAACCGTGGATAGGGATAATTGGGGTGTATGACTAATTTGACAATATTACCAAAGATCGTGTGGAAGAGAATCTTTGATATCACGATCATGATCACGAGTCCCTTAATCCTTCCTGGGGTCGTGGGCCGTGGGGGCGCTGATTGCTGACAACTGCACCCTTTCTCCATCGCTGACGGTCATGTCATGGGCAAGGGCTCGGGTCGTGGCCGAGGATGATTTATTTTTGGATGCCTTGGTCGTTGCAAAGCTGTCCTCTGTCCACTTGGCAATGCTGTCTGTCCATTTCTTTCTCTGCCTGCCTCTTTTTCTTCCACCATGAACTGTCCCTAGGAGGATGGTCTTCAATAGGCCACTGGCTTTTATCATACCCTCGAAGTTTTCTTTTCTTGATGGTGATATAAGCAGCTCTTCACAATGTTTCATGTGCTTGGTTATGGTTGCACACATTGCGTCATTTGTGATGTTTTCCATATGAAATGCCGAGTAGTAGTCTAAAGGTCTAAGATATCTCATTTCCACTGATCGGATTTTCTGTGCTAAAAATATTGACATGACTAATGCATTCGGCAGTTTCAATTTAGTTGACAGACTGATTGATGGTTTTATTTCTCCACATTGCTTTCAACATGATAAGCCACAACAGAAGCCAGAAGTCATCTTAACCTTTAAATCTCCAGATTCTTTTATTTTGCTTGAGAAATAATATTCTCCTCTGTGGATGTATTTGGCCATCGTCAGACATTGACGGACGATGAGCTATTAATTAGCATAATAAAGGCTTCCATAAATACAATATGTTAAGGGTTCTCCTTTAATTAATTTAATTTCTAATATCCGTAATCGTTACTTCTGGTTGTTCTAGTCCTAACTTCTGTAAAATGTATAGAGATTTCGTCGCCCCGCATCTGGATGAGATAGAATAAGATAATATATATATGACCATGACAGTGAAACTTCAAGGGTCCGCTTATTTCAACTCTTGAGTGGGTGTTAAATAGGATAAAGAATGGTCGCAAGTCAAAAGGATACATATAGGCCTACTTAATGTGTAATATCGGTCTGATCTGATCTAATCTTTCATCGCCTGTGCACGCTGAGCATGAACCTGTACACATTATGCATGATAACCGACTTGGAAACGATGCTGTGATTAAAAAAAGAAGTGTCAGAGGATAAAAACTCTTCGATCAAGAAAAAATCCGACGAAACGGAACGTGTCATGTGATTTATCATGTGACCAAAGTTTACTTCCGGCTCTTTCATGTGATGGTAATATTTTCATCTCGAGATGCGATTACAGTGGTAGTTTCTTTTTATGTTTATCTTTATTTAGTGTACATGCTCAGGTTTTGCTTGTAACATCATTGTGATACCCCTTTCACTATAAATGGACTAATAATTTCAACGACATGCTAATCTGACGTTGCCCTTGTTGAACTAGAATCAGAATGTTGAATTACATAAACTTTAAAAAATGCTACTTTCACTTTCCCTTTAAATTCTATCAAGAAAATTGCCTGTTCGTTCTCTCTCGCTACCATAGAAAGGAAGGCTAGAAACAGTAACAACATAGTCAATGAAAAGGATTTTTAGGGTACATATAACCTAGTATGGATGGGCTTTAGTACTGTACACAGATGCAGGGTAAAAGTGCATTTTTTTAGCAAACTTTAGACTTTAGTTTTAGACAAGGCCACCACCTATAGTCTTAACTATAGTCTTTTGGCTATTCTCACCCAGTGCGCGTTCACCGTTATAGCCTAGATCTAGGCCAACAAATTTTGCGTTCACCCTAAACCACAGAATTCTACACTGTGATAACAGAAAAATTGTAGTGTTCTGTGCCGTGAACAAACGTTCCATTACAACTGTAGCCTACTAAAAGCGTACAATTTTGTCTGTGGGCAGTGGAGAGAGAAAGAGAGAGAGAGAGGAGTAGCGCGAGAACTTCCGGTCAAAACAAAATGGCGACCCGCGTAGTTCGGCGCGATTCGAAAAGTTAAATAGCCGTAGCATCTTTGTAGACAACCGAATTAATTTACTTTTATGTTTTAACATCACTTTTTAACTTTGTTTTGGTCAATTTGATTGTCCACACCGATAGGCAGTATTCAGAAAGAGACAGAGAGAGAGAGAGAGGGGGGAGGAGTAGATCTTGCGAGAACTTCCGGGCAAAACAAAATGGCGACCCGCCTAGTTCGGCTCGATTCGAACAGTGAAATAGACATAGCATCTTTGAAGACAATCAAATTAGCTTACTTTTGTGCTATAACGTAATTTTTTCTTGGCTTTTATCAATTTGATCATCCACACCGATAGACAGTATTCCAAAATGAGGAAAAGCAGGTCTTGTTTCGCACCGGGTGAGAATAGCCTATGCTGGCAAGTCTCACCCAGGGTGAGAGGTAGATCGTTTTTCTATTCTCACCCCGGATGAGAATAGCCACTTCCTTTAGACTCGGGTCCGGAAAAAAGGAAGTGTCTTCGTTCTGTAGATCTAACGTTCAGTGCTTCCAATTTTCAGCCATTTTTTAGTGTCACCCACACCTTATCTGCCGATCCAATGCCCGCCGCCTCAATGATACGCCCCCCACCCCCCCTCCATGTTTCCCACTTTCTTTGTTGTAGAAAAAGGTAAAATTGAAGATTAGCAGACCACCTGGCACCTACACATTATGAGCTGTGTAAAAAAAAAAGACCGTTTCGTTCAAATACACAAGCCTGTGTCATCTCGATTGTTTACCAAGAAAAAGTTGTGTTGCTGTGTAGAGCCGAGCATACGGCAACTTTTGATTCCATAGACCAGCGCACAATTCATTACGTAGATCTACGTCAAGACTAGCTTATTGTTGTAATAAGGATCAGGTTGCCGGGGGATAAAAGACAGACGCGTATGCGACGTTCAACGCCCGGACCGATAGTGCCCCCCCCCCCTCCCCGACACGCACACACAGCGACACGTGTGCACGCCGCCCTTCCGACCCCGACACATGCTAACGAGCTATCTTTAATTGCTTCTGCTGACCTCTTGACAAATAAACATTTATTAGAAGCGCTATAACTTTTCAGGCCGGCCTCAAATTCATCGTAAGATAAAACCTCGGCTCCTGCACAAAACGCCATTTTGCCCTAAGTGATCCCGGTCTCTACCCAGCCTGAGGCGAGTCACGAGTGAGGCAGGACAGGAAGCCGGAGTCATGAGTCTCAGGAAGTCGTCGAAAGTGATGTCATGTTGGACAAGAATCAGTGTCCGAATAACATTTTTTCATATTCGGACTCGAGTCCGAATAGTCACTTTGTTTAGACAACTTGAGTTTTAGTTTTCGGAGTGATTATTTTTTCACCCGGGGTGAGGATAAACTGAATATTATTCTCACCCGGGGACACTATTCTCAGAATAGCGACAGCCTACTATTCTCACTTGTTTTTTTCATTTCGGGCATCGTAGAACCCCTGTCACTGAGCGCTCCAGGCGACAAAACTCGCCTCCCTCTCTCACTCCGCTTAGCGCACGAGGCGACTAAAATCGCCAACGGGCGGGCCAGCTCTCGAGCTCGGGAGGCGACTATTGTCGATTTGGGGGAAAACCTTATCTTTTGACCAAGTAGTGTCACCTTTTGTTGCTACAGTATTAATTTAGCCTGCGGCTATGCGTACGGCCCTCCCTCCCGTACGCATAGTCTCGTGGCTATGCGTACGGCCCTCACGCGTATGGTACTCTCTTCGTACAGCCCTTAGATTTAGAGATAGAAGTAGGGTCGGTTGGTCGTGGGGAATACACATTTTCCCCTGAAAATACACATTTTCATATTTCCCAATCGGAGTGCTTATTGGCCCACAGGGCATATAAAATTTGGCCGTCGTTTTTCGGACTCGAGTCCGAATAACATTTTTTCATATTCGGACTCGAGTCCGAATAAAAAAAATTCTTATTCGGACTCGAGTCTGAATATGAAAAAATGTTTTTCGGACTCGGGTCCAGAAAAAAGGAAGTGTCTTCGTTCTATGGATGTAAAGTTCAGTGCTTCCAATTTTCCGCCATTTTTTAGTTTCCCCCACACCTTTTCTGCCGACCCGATGCCCACCGCCTCATTGATATGCCCCCCCCCCCCCACCCCCATGTTTCCCACTTTCTTTGTTGTAGAAAAAGGTAAAATTGAAGATTAGCAGACCACCTGGCACCTGCATATTATGAGTTGTGTAAAAAAAAAAAAGACCAATTCGTTCAAATACTCAAGCCTGTGTCATCTCGATTGTTTACCAAGAAAAAGTTGTGTTGCTGTGTAGAGCTGAGCATACGGCAACTTTTGATTCCATAGACCAGCGCACAATTCATTACGTAGATCAACGTCAAGACTAGCTTATTATTGTAATAATGATCAGTTGCCGATGGGAAAAAGACTGATGCGTATGCGACGTTCAACGCCCGGACCGATAGTGCCCCCCACCCCCCTCCCCGACACGCACATAGCCACACGTGTGCAGGCCGCCCATCCGACCCTGACACACGCTAACGAGCCATCTTAATTGCTTCTAATGACCTCTTGACAAATAAACATTTATTAGAAGCGCTATAACTTTTCAGGCCGGCCTCAAATTCATCATAAGATATAAACTGGGCTCCTGCACAAAACGCCATTTTGCCCGAAGTGATCCCGGTCTCTACCCAGCTTGAGGCGAGTCACGACTCACCGCATTCACTTAACTTTCTGTCCCTATTTCTGTGTTCTCTCTCTCTCTCTCTCTCTCTCTCTCTCTCTCTCTCTCTCTCTCTCTCTCTCTCTCTTTCTCTCTCTCTGTCAATCTCTAAATTTTCTATATAATTTAACTGTGTAAAACGGGCACCTGTCCAATGCGGCCGCCATATTTCAACACACAACCCATATCACACAAAGCAAAAACACCTGTCTTAGACGGCCACCTTAGTGACTCCATTACGCTTTGTCATAAATTGTGCATTGGCCCCTGGCGTTGTGGGCGAGCCGTCATAATCTAAAAACCTGTCGTTGTTAGGTAGTCCCTCCAACTGATCATGTTGCGTAGGCCCCTCCCACTGTTGACCAATAGGTAACAAAATAAATTTTCAACTGCTGGTGAGGTAAGCATGTGATCCCTCATAACCCATAAGCCCCGCCCAGAACCCATACACAAATCGCAAGTGACATGAGTGGTCACTGTTTACCCAGTCTGTAACAAAGTAACAATGGACGTCAACATGAACTTGTGACAGAAGCGTCGCTCGTTCTCCCAGTGGTAGTACGGGTGTTTGTTTTACCATAGCACTCGGTCCTCCTTGTCTCACACATTTTGTTTTATTGTCACCCGTGCACAAAAGCAGCAACAAAAGAAAAGAAAACCCAGCGAAAACAACAACAACAATGCAACTACCTTCGGTTGGGACCTCAGAAAGGAAGGGTTTGTTTTCTCAGAAAGGAATTGTTTGTTTTCTTAATCTCGATCAATCCTGCCTAAGACGGCCACCTGTCTTATACGGCCACTTTTCTCCTTGACAATGGGTGGCCGTCTTACACAGGTTCGACTGTACTTTGAAAAACAACGCATGAAATGGCCCGTGTGGGCCAATAAGCCCCAGCTTATTTGCCCATGTGGGCCAATAAGAGCAGCCTTTCCCAATACTTGTTTCGGTTTTCTGTGGTTGGCATCTCTGAGGTGGCCAAACCATTTTATCCTCTGTCTTTCTATGTAACGCAGGCAGGACTCAGTGACGATAGCTGCTTTACTTTTTCATTTCTCTGCCTGTCTCGTCTTGTGATGTTAAGGCTTTTGTGGAGACATTTCATTTCGCATGCATGCAGTGATTTTGCTTTCATGGGTTTTGCTTAAGATCCAGGTCTGGCACTGATAAAATAATGTTGGTATGAATATTGAGGTGATAAGCTGTCTCTTTGTGTCTATGAAGATGTTTGGATGGGATAGAAGGGATGCGAGCTGGTAGGTGACAGCGTTGGCTTTTTGAGTTCGCATTTCTATTTCTCTGTCTATGGACCTGTTTTCAGAAAAAGTGCTGCCAAGATATTTAAACTCTTTCACCTGTTTCAGTTGTTTACTATTGACGTGGATGTTCAGGGGACTATGGTTTCGGCTCACTTTCATAACTTCTGTTTTTGATGTGCTCTATAACGCCTCTATAATTGAGCCAATTAAAAAAGTGTCCTCAATATTCGGTGGCGCCCTCTTCGAAAAAGTGCGGACTTTGTGATCAGAATTACCCTACTTGTGTGAAAATATATACTGAACACCAAAAGAAACGCAAATGGATTTCTGGTATGGAAAAGATTATTTTTATTGAAATTGTTAACAGTTGTGTGATTTTTTAGATGTTTTACGTTCGAAAATGTGATTTTCATTGAGCATGGACGAACATCTTCGACTGGTATTTTTTAATGACTCATTAATGTCACAGTATCTTAAACACAGGGATGCACAAGTCACATAGTCCATTTGGCACAGTCCAAGCGTTGTCTTGCTGGAACACCAAGTGGTGGTGCTGCTGGACATAAGAGAGGACCGCCGGCCTTAGTACCATGTTGATGTAACGTTGGGCGTTGATCCCATTGCCACGCTTGCGTCCGAGGTTTCGGAAGACGACAGGGTCGACCTGGTGATTTAGTCCAATAGCAGCCCAGATCATGTTACTAGGGCCACCCCAGACGTCGGCTTCCATCATGTTGAGGTCTGCGTTGCGTTCGCCGTTCCTCCTCCAAATTCTAACTCTTCTATCCGCGTTGCTGATGCAGAATCGACTCTCGTCAGAGAAAAAAATGTTTCTCCATTGCCTCCATGTCCAATGAAGCCGATGCTGGGCACAGGCTAACCTCTGTTGTCTGTGGCGGATAGTGAGGACTGGGCCAACCGTCGGACAACGGCACCGGAATCCTCGGGTCTGAAATCGTCGCCGCATGGTCTGGCCGGATATCGATGGTCCGTGGCTTCCAATTGCCCCCCTTACTGTTTCGGCTGTAGGCAGGAAGCTGTCTCGGTGATGACGGGGCGTAATCAGTCCATCTTGGCGTGCAGATGGGACCCGTGGGCTTCCGCTTCTGGCCAAGTCTTTGGTGCTGCCAGTTGTTTGAAAACGTGTCCACAGCCTACAAACTGTTGAAAGGGACACATCAAAATGCGATAGCGACGTCAGTACGGCTGTCCCCAGCTTGTAAACGCCCAATGGCTCCCTCTCGACCTGCAGCACTCAGTCTTGGCATCGTCTTGGCGGTCAACTGCTTCACTGGCCAAAGCGTAGCGGTGTGTCTTTTTATACCCTGATATGCCATGAACACTAATCAAGAAAAAAAAATTCAGCCATCTCTGTTTTCAATCACGCAGGGCTAAAAGCACAAACTTTTCATTGACCGACTTTCATAAGCTTAAGGTGAGTACTTTTTACTCAGCACTCACAGACTACACTCAGGAGACCTAAACACCTCAGGAGCGTGTACTAGTATTTATCTGAAAAATATTTTTCAACACATTTTAAGGTGAAAATGGACCAAACTAATGACTTGCGTTTCTTTTGGCGTCAGTATATAATAAAAATAAAAGTGAAACCAACAACGGAGTGTCTACGTACACGGTAACCGGGCGTGCCACCTACAAAGCCTAGCTTATTATATGAAGTGGAGGGTCGTACACATAGCCTCGATGCTATGCGTACGGGAGGGCTGTACGTATAGCCATGAGGCTATGTGTACGGAAGCCGTACGCGGAGCCACTTCGATTAATTTATTGGTTCTGTAATGAAAAATTTTACTCTTGAATCGTTTAAAACCAATCAAAATTAAGAAAAAAATAAGCCCAGGGTCAAGGCACTGCGTTCCTTAAAAATAATCCTGGGTTCTGCTAGGGATAACAACAATTAAACACGTTTTTTTGTGTCGTAAACAAATGCCAATTCTAACATTACAATGACAAACTATTTTATTAACATTATTTCATTAAATAGCTTTCTTCAGTTAAGGCTATTATTTTTAAAAACATACTACTCTGGCAAGTGAACTCCCTTCTGAATTTAGAATATATTTACACTTGCCTAGGGTTTTGGTGAAGATATGCGTGCATACTCTCCACTCAAGATCAAGATTTTAAAAAATGAAAACAATCCCTGCGGGTGCCTAGAAAAATCGGCCAGCGCTCTGGGGCAGATCACGAACGTTCACTCTCTTACAATTCACAAATTATTTTCTATAGTCCGTTCTCAACACCCAGGTAGACCTAAAACTCCATTGCATTCTCAGACCGGGTGAGAATAATATATTCATTTTATTCTCAGCCGACTGTGCCTGTCCGAGTTTTTGTTCCGTCAATTATTAGCAGAAATTCGGGTTCTTAGCATAAAGCAGTGGGATTTTAGGCAGAGAGTACTGTATTTGAAGTAATAAGATTCCATTTTGAATAACAAAGATGCCCTCAACGGTACATATTCTCATTCATGCAGTGAGTAGGTAAGAGAATGTTATGTTCAAGTTGTCGTTCCCCAATGTATCTCATCTTCCCCAACAGTGTTCCAGCCTGTGCTTGCACTTTATCACTATATGTTCACCCTTTCATTATTTTTCATGGCATCCTAGACCAGGCTTTTGCCCTGCAATCACCTATTTTGTTCTTCTGACCAGTGCGTGCATCAGTCTCACATCATCTTGCTTTTGAAAAAAAAAAATAGTTTATGAGAGGGGGAGGAAAATGAGAGAAGAAAGCATCGCAAGACTTGGATGTGATTTCTTAACATTTTCTTCGCTGTGCTGAGACTTCACTGGGACCATATCTATTCAGACTCAGTTTTGTTTTCTGTCTCCCATAGAATCTGTATCGGAGCAGTGGCAATGGATGGATCAAAGTGGGTGGGGCTCAGAAATGGGGGAAGATTGAGTTCAAAGATAAATATTTCCTGGCTTCAAAGGAAAGCCTAGATATGTTTGAGTGGGTGTATTTGTGTGTGTGTGCATGTAGCTGCAGAAAGCACGACAATCTTAACACGGGCCCAATGATCGTGTTAGTTATTGGATCTGTGGGGAAGTAGTGTGTCGTGAACTTTCACCCCATTGTTTGGGCCTGCAGAGCTTGAGTCCTCCCTCTTCAGGTTGCATAAGTTCTTTTAAAAATCTTTTACCTTTTTACAAGATCAGTTTCATAAAGAAGGGACTGTGAGAACTGGCTCATCCTTTGCTGAACCCTGAAGACATTTTAATGGCAGTTAGGTTACTATTGTTGTAAGCAGTGACAACAGGGATTGGATAAAGAGAAAGTGAACTTTAATGTATTCTCTCTTTTTTGGGTATTTTTTTGTAAGTGTTTTACGGCGCTCGCAATTGCATAAGGTCATATGAGCGCTCGGGACACACCAAACATTTTCAGTTGATAGAAAAATTTTTAATTTTTCCCGGGTGGCGGCTGAAGCCTACTCTTATTGATTTTGGACCACCAAGGGATCTTTAACGTAGGCGACTTGCACACAGAACTTCGAGATTTCTGGCCGTTGTCCAAGCCGAGAAGGCTAGGTGTAGTTCTTTCCTACCATAAGATCTTGGGTGTGGCTGAAAGACAGCAGTAAGAAATAAGAAAGAGTCAAGGAGCAGCAGTAGAAAGGCTGCAGAAAGAGTCAGGAGCCAAGAGGAGGTGGCAAAGGAGCTGAGGGGATGGGGATAGAAAGTGGAGACGAAAGCAGACGACAGAACATTGTTATAGAGCAGAAAAGAATGTGAAAGGAGAAAATTGTGCTTCGCTGTCCGGTTTTGAACGTGCGACCTATTGAATAAGAGGCCTTAACCTCTAGGCCACGAGAGCCCCCATGTATTCTCTGTGAAAGTGAATAATTCTACTTTTTTTTGTTTCAGACAAACAGAATGGGTATTCATTTTTGCTGACATTTTTAGAGGGAAAGGACAAAAATGACTGAAGTCTTGTTCAAAGTCATCATCATTGGTGACCCAACAGTTGGAAAAACTTCATTTGTACAGAAATATGTGAATGATTCATACAGACGGGATTACAAAATGACTATTGGAGGTCAGTATTTTAACATTTTTTTAAACATTTTCTTAAATGTTACAATTTACAAAGTAAAACCATTGAAATGTGAGAAATATTTTAATTTTTTTCTTAAAATTGTTAAAATAGCCACTAAAGTTATTATTGTCAACAACCATTTGAAATGTTTATAATTATATTCTGTCTTTCCACTTTAATAAAAGATAATGGAATGAAGAGTTATTGTACCCCCGGGGCAGTGCCACTGACTGAAGACTGAAGTGTCTTTAGGCCATTCCCAAAGGGGGGGACATTTCTCGTTCATGCACAGTAGATTTGTAAATAGGCTGATTCATCAATGTCACGTTCATAACTGTGCCTGATCTGCAATAGGGAACTGCTGCTTTTTTTTTCCTTCTCCTTACTCTTACTATTCTTGTTTTTCCTCTATTTCTTTTGTATGTTTGTCACACTCTTGTGACCCACTATTTCTGGGGTGCGTTGATAGTCGAAGCAGACTTTGTGCTGTTGAAGCTAGAGAGGTGAGCAGAGTAAGTCTGATTCCTTGTAAGGACTTCTCTGTTGACATCCACCCCTTGGCGCTCACATGACCTTTTGCAGTTGTGAGCGCCGTAAAACCTCAACAACAAAAAAAGAGTTATTGTTTTCTCTTACTTGCTTCTAATCTAAATTGGCTGATAAGTCAAATATGTATCATCATGCGAAATGCCATGCTCATTAATTATCGCAACTTTTTAAAACATGTAATATATCTAAGAAGCCTATAAATACATGTAATATATCTAAGAAGCCTATAAATTTATATGATTCTTTTTTTTCCCCTGTTCTCTCTCCTTCAGTGGACTTCGCCTTGAAAGTTATCAAGTGGTCAGATAAATGTAATATAAAACTTCAGCTGTGGGACATTGCTGGTAAGAATTATTAGTACTGATGGTAAGTTAAATTTGCAAGACAAAATGAGGATATCAGATAAACATATGGTGGGAATGTCAATATGATGTATGGTGTTTAATCACAATCCTTTTGATAAGACTAGCTAAACCCTAGCGGAGTAAAATTTACTGGAGAGGCAAAGAACTCCAGTGGTTTCATCACGCAATAACTTGGCTGCCAGCTTTACATTTTAAGAGCATTTCTAGTCCAAATTCATACCTGCTTTTCAGTGAGCATATGAAGTGGATACTTTACTATAGATTTGTCAAATAATAATTTTTTTTCTGTGGATATTTTGCGGGTTTGGTGGTCTTATCACAAGGGCAATGTTTGCAGTCAAACTTTCCCAAGATAATCACCTGTGCAAATGACCACTCCCTACTTGCCCCCTTGCTTTTTTTTCTTATATTATAATGACTTTGTCCTTGACAATGGGTGGTCATCTTTAAAAGGTTTGGGGGCTCTCGTGCTCAAGAGGTATGGTGTTCGCCTCTCTTACAATTGGTCTCGATCTAGTGCGTAACCTGACAGCGATGGAAAATTTTCTTCTATAAAAAATGTTCTCCTTTCACCGTTACTGCTCTGTAATCTTGTTCTGTTGTCTGCTTTTGTCTCCACTTTCTTCAATTGAAGTTGTTGCCACCTTAAAACCTGGTCACCTTGAGACAAAATGTTAGGTTTTTAGTTGCGTTTTGAAAGAGTGCTGCAAAGGCCATGCCTGGTTTGAGAATGTTTTTGTTGTCTCATCTGTTTAGTTCCTAGCTGACTATGAGTTGTTGGTGATTGTGATGTTTGAATTTTAAAAAACCACGTTACTATTTTGCAGTGTGCTTACCATTTTTGTTCCTTTTTCATTTTGTTGAGAAGGTAATGGGATGGAGGGGTTGGGGGTGTTAGTTGATCACGGGAAAAGATGAGCCATATATATGAATATTGTTGGTCTTAACAGTCAATTGCTAACATTGCTAGCAATTCATCCTGAATGATTTTTTCCCACTTTTGTTTTAGTTTTACGACCTCTAATTTAAGTTTATTGTGTTGGTCATGATGGGCTACTTTGTAACATTAGTGAAACTGCGGCCAAAGTGCTGTGAAGCAGCTATGATTTCTGGTTTTTGCAATTGGAATCGCAGAGGTCCCGTTATGTCTCCTCAGGTCAAGAAAGATTCACCTCAATGACCCGCGTCTATTACAAGGATGCTCATGCTTGCCTTGTTATGTTTGACTTGACACAGAAGAACACTTTCCAGAACTCTGTCAAGTGGAAGAAAGATCTAGACCAAAAGTGCACATTAGTGGATGGTTCTCCTGTACCTTGCTTATTGTTAGCAAACAAGGTGCGGTACTGTGTACTTTAACTTTAAGTGTTTTAAATCTTGCATTATTCTCGAATGTCCTGTCTTCATTTATTTTCCAGTGCAATTAAAAGTAGGTACCGCAAACTGGCCACGGAGACCAAAACCCATGATTTTACCTCCTAAAACACCTTGTGATCATGCATACACACAGACACTTGATATATCAGAAGAAAGAGGAGCTTTTCCTCTTTTTAGTGGTATTATTCATATATGAATCAACTATTCTTTTGAAAGCAAAATCTTGTTGGATATAAGACAACCCTATCAAGGTTTTCACTGTAGCGGCCGCGCATTTCATGTATTGATTTTTAGAGTGACCTCGGTTGAACAGGAATGGGGAGCGTATGATATTAAATACTGCAATCTGATTTGTCGATATTTCAAGATGAGAATACACTCTTTCCGGTGATATATTTATAAAGACTGTCATTAAAGAATTAGTAGAAAAGATTTGCATGTGAAAACTTTCGATTCTGTTTTTCTTTTTATGGAACCAGTGATCAGACTGAGTACGGAAATATATAGGCAGAAAGCCCATTCATTCGTCTTCAAGAATAACACAACCATTATACGCAAATAAGTACCGGACGCTCCCCATTGGCTCGCAAGCAGGGCGCCATTCCCCCGTATTGTATTAAATTCTTTCTCCTTCCCGTCAGCGGGGCCCGGTGTGCAGCCGATAAGCCGGTGGTCGCGAGTGGTGATTTTAAGTTCCCCTTGTATTTCTTGATATTTTGGTCAAAAAGCCATGTCAATAAATTTCCATCTTCTGGTTATTTGATGTTCATGACTTTGTTAAAAATAAAGCTATATGTATAAATTTGGTATCAAAATGCTCAGAATAATAAATTCTATATGGTGGTGCAGTTAACTATGAAATCAGAGGACTTTGAAATTTCAGTTTGTGGTACCTATTAAAAGGGAGGGGGGGGGTTGTTTTTTTCCTTCCGACATTCTCATTGTTGGACTAACTATACCGAGATGCAAAAGTTCTGTCACACCCACCTTAAAAGTACAATAATTAATTTACTACTCAACATATCCAAGAGAAATTTGGTACACTCGATCTTTATTCATTTCCTGCCAACATGACATAAAAGAATGGACAAATGTCTTTTCTTATTCAAGGGAGATAATTTTATTCACCCTGACTCTTGCAAAATTGAAATCAAAGTTTGCTCAGTATGGCGTGTGGCCTCTTCCAGCTTGAATTACTGATACAAAGCATCTGTTCATTGACTGAATTGAAGTCCTTATGGTTGTCTGAAGAATCTCCTGCCATTCCTTGTGTAGTGCAGCCTTCAGTTCCTGACCAGTTTGTACGGAATGCGGCCTGTTTCTAATCCTCCAGTCAAGGTCATCTTACAGATGTTCTTTTGGGTTAACACTTGTGGATCTTGCAGGCCAGTCCAGAACAACGATTTGATGTGTTTGGAAGAAGTTTTCATTGATCGTAGCCATTTGTGGTCGGGTGTTGTCTTGTTAGCAGATTCCATCATCCGTGCCATGTAGCGTACTCACCGTGGCGAAGAATATCGTCACAGTAATGTCGTTATTTGAGGTTGCTTTGAAAAGTAACTAAATGTATACGATAAAAAGCAGAGATTCCACCCCCTACTATCACATTTCAGCCACCTTCGGGCCTCTTGGTGGATGTTGGATTTGTGAAATTCCTATTCCTTTCTTTCTTAAAACACTTTTTTTCTTCCATCAATGCGACGAATTAAAAACCTTAACCATTGCTGAAAAGAACATTTTACCAACGTCTTTAATTTCATCGACAATGTTGTTGTGCCAAAATTTTGTGATTCCTTCCATGAAACAGTGTTAGAATGGCTCCATATAAAGGGCGATAATCATGTGATCCACGATCTTATAAATGTCTAATAATAATGTTTCAAGACAGTCCGAAGTGACTGGCAGTCTCTGCACCAAGTTGGAATGGGTTTTGAACATGGGTATTGACAATAACCCAATTCTGATGTCCAGTTGTCGGCCTTGGTTGGCTACGTCTCGGCTTGTCGTGGCCAGTTCTAGTGGTGTTAAAACGTTTGTTCAAGCGATAGATGGCACTTCTGCAAACATTTACCTGTCTTGCCACAGCAGAAAACGCAATTAAAGAATTTATCATACATACAGCCCCTTTATTATCTGAATTTATCATTTTCAAAATTTTGAAAACAGGAGAAAAAGGTACCCAACGGTTAAAAAGTACGGAATTTTATAGTGTGTAAGGTGTGTTTACACATCGTCTACGTGATTCAAAGCAAATTTTGTGTGCAGGAAACGATTTCAACACAGACCGAGAGAAATCAATACCAACACTTTGTCCACGTACTACTTCCGGTTTATGATTTCTTTGGTCTGCTCTAGCACAAGAAGTGTCATAAGTCCCATAAGTCATACTTTTAACTTTTATTGCAATTCTTATGTTACACCGAAAATTATCGTAATATAATGGGTGTGACAGAACTTTTGCAACTCAGTATATTTATATTTTAGTGCAGTGCCGAAAGGAAAGATAAAAGTACTACTTACATTTGAAAAAAGTTTGCTTATTCTGAATTAAAATAGATGAATATGTTTAAGTTATCATCATCTGGTTTATGTGTAGGTTGTACAAAAACTTGAGACCAGCGCCAGTGGTGTTACGGTTGGTCGCTTCGCTGTCGCATGTAGTAGACCTGAGTTCGATTTCCAAGTGGGGAGAAACTTTCATCGAGTATCTCGGTCTTTGTCCTGGGATTTTGTATCCATCTCTGCCCAGGTTGGCTCTGACAGGCAGGGTCGGAAGTCTGCCTCCTGGATGATCTAAAATGTATGGGTGGGGGTGTAAAAACATCGACATTGAAAAAAATAGAGACATGAGACTTGAAGATGGAACAATGCAAGCCATATTGAAGTTGTCTCTGTATTTTAACTGTCCCTGAAAAGTTGGAAAGGGTTCGTATATTTATAGTAATTACCTTAAGTATTATTATATGCATGCACTCTGAATACTTCAGCTTGCATATCCATATTGGGGAAATTGTGTTTAGATCTGGAGTAAAATTTCTATAATCAGACTAGAACGAGTAGTACCAGTTTGAAAATGTATTTTTAAAAATAACAAATAGCTCTTATGCTTTTGTGAGTCATTTTGTAGATAGATAGAATGGTATACTTTGACTATCAAAGCCTCCTGCTGACATTTTTGGTGCATTATTCTTCTCTACAGTGTGATGACATGGAGCATCGGGAAGTTTCTCAAGACGAAATAGAAGAATTATGCCGAGAGCACGACTTTTTAGGATGGAGTGAGACTAGTGTGAAAGATGGGATTATGATTGAAGAATCTATGGGGTGAGTTACTTTATTTTAGCGGGAGAAGGAAACAATGCAATGTTCCTTCTTTTGGGCTGAAGAAAGAAGACTCTTGGAAAATGATAATGAGACCAGACAAAAGTAGGACAAATGTTGTTTAGTCTAACCAACCACTGTGAGGGGATAGCCTACCTGGATCTAAGTAAATGAAAAATGTCGATTGTTTAAACCATTAGGTTGAATCTTTGTCTCCAGTGCTTTATCTGTTGGCTCTCCTACTGTTTTCATCACAGTGAACATAGATACACTACTGATATAGAAGTAAATTGTAAAATGTATCTGTCTGTCTGTCTGTCTGTCTGTCTGTCTGTCTGTCTGTCCGTCCGTCCGTCCGTCCGTCCGTCCGTCCGTCCGTCTGTCTGTCTGTCTGTTTGTCTCTCTTCTTCCCTCCCTCCCTCCCCCCTCCCCAGTCTCTCTCTCTCTCTCTCTCTCTCTCTCTCTCTCTCTCTCTCTCTCTCTCTCTCTCTCTCTCTCTCTCTCTCTCTTTCTCTTTCTCTGTCTCTGTGTCTCTCTCTCTCTCTCTCTCTCTCTCTCTTTCTCTCTCTCTTTCAGTGTAGATGGTTGGTGAGCGATCTTGTGTGATTAGCCTTTTCTGTTCTATCAAAATATCTTCCTTATCTCTCCGCCTTCTTTTCATTGTATGTAACTCCTTTAGTAACACCTTTTATTCTAATCTGTGGCACTTATATAACCTATTGGTGTTGCGAAAGCTGTAATACTCTAAGAGAAGTCAAAACTAAAAATCACGTTTTCTGGCTCTCTCTCTTCCTCTCTCTTTCACTTTTCTTCCTCCTCCTCCTCCTCTTTCTTCTTTTTAGTTCTATTATCATTATATATTTTACTTGAGAATGAAATACTTAGGTATAGGTCTGCCCACTACTATTAGTAACTTTTTAAACTAATATTTTATCTGTAATCTGCTTGCCAAGGTATACAGTAGTCTCCGCGTAAACGCACACCTCACAAAAGCACGCTCCGCTCAAACGCACGCTTTCGTCATCTGACGGGTTTTTTTACTACATAATTTAGACGTACAAACGCACGGTCACTCCCTCTAAGCGCACACTCCGATCCGCGAAACACGTCGACAAGTTAAGCTTGGCAAGGGGAAATTTTCACGACAATCAACACAGCCTGCATAAGACAAGCCTAGAATTTACTAGAAAACCGGATATTTAGTGAGAGTGCCCCTCACGCCGTACAAAGAGAGTGATGGACAGCGTTTACATACCCTACTTTCCTCTGACGCATAGGTCTCGGTCTATGGCTGGTCGGTTAAATGTTTGGGGGGGGGGGGGGGGGGGGGGAGACTGAAATGTTTTTTGATTGGTCACTGGATGTATCTTTGAGAGAAGGTTTCTGACTGGCGTTTGAGTTGGAGAGACTGCGTGTAATGTTTTGTTAGATCTAGGCCTGATGCGCGATATGCCTAAATGCCGTAAAACACTAGGCAGGCCTCTATATAGGATTAAAGATTAGCCAAGTAAGCCTGATAAGCAGCGCTCGAAGAACTTAACATACTAATACTTGTTCAATGAATCACAAGGGAAAAATGTTTCTCGAGGATGATTCTGCATGAAATTTACGGTCAGGGCTGGTCGCATGGAAAGCCACGTGGCTGGTCCGAGTTGTCTGTCGTCTCAATGACTATGACCAAAAGTTTCCTCTTATGCAACCTGTTCCCGATCTTTATAGTGCATATTCATTATTTTGAGTCTGCGCCCCCCCCCCCTCCACTCATTCAACGCCTTTGTCTTCTTAACCCCTGTTGGGGAATCCTTCACAAAACAGTCATGTGTCGTCACATTATCTGCCAAAATGACCCCCTCCTCCAAGGGAGGTCACTAGAATATCAAGGCAATGAGATGACTGTCCCTTCCTCCCCTTGCAAAGGTTCATGTAAACGCACGCTCCGTATAAACACACGCAAAGGAGCCCTCCCGAGCACCGTGCGTTTAGGCGGAGACTACTGTATGTCTAAAAATAAAGATTTTAAAAGATCCACCCAAGCACGGTTTGTGCTCAGGGCAATAAACTTCTCTAAGCTGCTTTACCATACCTTGCACATGATGCAGAATGGCCCTTTTCAAGACCAGAACAATACATGACAGAGCAATGGATGGGAAGAGAGGTTGACTACCAGACTACAACAAAATCTAAATTCACACTACTTGCACAAAATTTTTTTTGAGACATGCACTAGAGGTCTGCTGGGACCATTTGTTCTGTGGTTTTTTTATTAATACAATCATTTGCTCCTCTCATGTGATCAAAGCATCTAATTTTCTTATAATAAGCTGGCCCAGTGACGGGTCACCCTTTCCTTTCACTACTGCAGCATTGCGATTGATGCAGTTGTTTCATAGGTACATTACACTATCATATCATTGTGACACTGTTGCGTCATAAAATCAAAATTTACTTTGGAGCCGTGGTTTTCTCTAACGTCCCAAACAATGCACACACCTCAGATATGGGCACACACACACACTTTTGATTTTTTTGTTTTTAAAAAGGCCAACTTCTCTGCTCTATATTTTAGCTTTCTCATCGAAGAGATGATGGCCAAACATGCGGAGTTGGAAGGGTTCTCTGAATCCTTTCAAGCGAACGCCGCTAACCACGTGAAGCTGGGGAGAGACGATGCTGTGGCCCATAGCGGTTCTAAGTGTTCATGCTGACGTTAATTTGTCTTTAAACGTATATTTGTATGAATGAGACCTGGAAAGAAAGGGTTACACATGTTGCTTTATTTTATGTTCTGGTGTAGTATAGCCTACATACTCTGGATGTAAAGTGTTTGGGTGATTGAGAGAGACATAATCTGTTCTTTGTCCAAAGTGCCTGAAAAGCTTTCCTTAAATACTACGGTATTCTTTTTGTGTGAAGAGGGTATGTCATAATAAGATTTTAATGTATTTCTTACTTCTGGTCATAATTTTGTCCTTGGAATCCCCACAAAGCTTTATCTCATGTATGTGGTAGACAACATTACGCTTTACTGCTCATGTGCTAAGGGGAAGGAGAGGGACATGCCTATATGTAATATATAGACTTTGGTGCCGAAATGTAGAGCTTACTTTGTTATAACCTTATTCACGTTGTAAGTCAATTGGTATATCACCTGCTAACTTTTAAATGTTTCCAGATAATGTGCCAAACACTAAAATTTAGCAACGCCAAACATCATTTCTCCTATATCTTTAAAATCACTCCCTTTGTGCTCAAATCAAGGATTTGTTTTTTTTTGGATTTGAAAGTTTCCCACTAAATAATTTGGCTTTCTATAAGTAGATGATGAAATCTTTTCCTTGCTTAAGTCTGCTAGAGGGGCTCATGACGTAGATATAATTGGCTGGCTGGAAGGAAATCAGTTCAGCGTTTGTTTTCTAAAATTTCTTTGCAAATAAGATACAAGACCTTCCGTCTTTTCACATTTGGACTAAATAACATCGGGCTGTTTCTCTGTAGATGAGCGTTGTTATCGGTATGGTAAAGTTCTGCTTAAAGTTGTACAGGTATCTTCTTTGATAGAAGGGTGTTGCCAACTGTATATATTTTCAACAGAGTAAGGAACTGTGAGAATTCTGTCTCTTAAATGTCCATTTGATTCTTTAACTTTGGAACATAGCTCATGTTATTAGTTTCATCTCTTGAGGAATCTCCCACCAGCTTCTGTCTCTTCATCTTGGTATGTGTTGCATACATATTTTCATTTATGTAGGGGAAACTACAGGATAGAATTCCTAATTTGATCTACTCCAGCTGATATACATATTTGATGTCATTGTTCAAATTCCACTAGAAATGAAAACCCAGTTTTGGCAAGTCTTTTTTTATCTGGTCTTTTAGCACCTCCTTTCTACTTCTATTTCGGGTGACTGGAGGTGTTGAATAGAGTAAATGTACCGTATTGTTTCTACTATTAATTGTATCTGTGAAAATAAATTCTTTCGATCACTAAAAAGAGTGTGTGCCATGTGCCATGAACAACACAAAAATTTTAATTATTAATGTTAGATTTTGGAGACTGGAGATGAGAGTCTATCGGTTGGGCATTTTTTTGTCTGTGCTGATCCAGTGGTTGAAGTGAAAGCGTTGAAAACTTTTGAGTTGCATAGTTGACTTGAATTTTTGGGTAGTGGACATGAATGATATTGCAGAAATAGTTTCTTGCAAACAACACGTCAAGTTGATGAAAGGGGTTTTTTTTTGTTCTACTGGTTTCTTCATACACCGTACATTACTTAATTTATGTGAAGATGTAGTCATCCTCATTCCTGTGAAGAAACATGTTGCAATTTTTTTCTTTCTCTAAATTATTCTATGCCACAATGCTTTTTGTTTTCTGATTTCGTTTTGCTTTTTTACTGCTGCATAAGTGATATCTGACTTCTAAACATTGTGATAGATTGAAGGCTGTAGTCTGTTGTTAGACTGGATTTGTTTGTGTACACGTGTTGCCTGTTTGCATGGTTTTTGTTATTGCTCTGCTATATAATGAAATGCAGTTTGTGAAGAATTGCAAACTGAAGTACTAGAAATTGAATATGAAAAAATGATAAGATGTTCAGTGTATGGCGCCTTTTGCGTAAAGAAAATTCAGTGTGATAACTTTGTATTTCTGTTAAATGGGATTAGGAATGAGTTTTAAAGTACATGTGCAATCTGTAAATGTGTGAAACCATTGTAATTGCAGTGATATATGAGAACAATTGATAAAAGGTGAAATATTAGTCTGTCCCCATCGTTTTATGCAAGAAAATTCTGAAATTATGCAAACTGAGCCCAAAAATGTGAAAGTATACGATTCTGTTAAATTTAACAAAGAATGATAAAGGAAAATAATCAGAAATTATGTAAAAAATGATGAAATTTTGCTAAATTATGCGGGGTGCATAAAACCATGGGGACAGATTAGTATACATAGCTGGCACTGGTCAGTATGTGTCTTAGAAGCAACTGTAAAAATTTCCGAAGTCATGTTTTCACCCAACTGGCGTCTGTGGTGTAGTGGCTAGACACTTTGCAATCGTACGCAGAAGACATGAGTGGCCGTTAAAAAAAAATAGGTCCCGTCCACAACTGAAAAGTATATTATGTTTTTTTTTTTTTTACAGCGTACTGTACACGTTACTCTGAACTGTGCCAGCCATTTATTGCCAAAATAGAGAGTGAGAGAAAGAATTCAGAACAACACTATGGGTACTTCTAGCTAATTATAAGGTCATGCTGAGTTTGTAAGTGTCAGAAATAGATAAGATTAAGAAGAGATAGAAAAACTCAAGGAAATACCTAGCATCTGCGTTTGTTGCCATTTTTTTGTCCAAAAGTTGGCACAAAAAACGGCAAAAGCTTTCAACTCTCTGTGATGATGTATATAGCAATTTGATAGAGGTAATAATTAAAACACCAAAATTTCTTGTGCTCTGTTTTAAGCATCCAGAATATCATTTGTAGTCACCCAGTGTGTAAAATCGTGAAAAATAAAGGTTTCACAATAGAATGAAACCAAAATTTGAACAGCACGGATAAATTAACAAATTGGGGTGCGTCCACCTATCGGAAGATTGGCTGTTTTAACCCTAAACGTGTGTAATTCAAGAAAAAGTAGGTCTACAGGATATTACATGTAAATTATGGAATCACACACAATTGGGGCGTGCCAATGTCAGTATTCGGTTTTGGTGGAGACATGCTCTAACCTAACACATTTTATATTTTTAAAAGGGTAGGAACATGACATTACGCTGTATAAACACACACAAAAAAAAGAAAAACAAATCGTCAGAACAATTTTTAGAAAAATTAACACATCAATAAATGAAAACACAACAAAGAGGGAAAAATAAAAGACAAACAGCAAAATAAATAGTTTGTAGTGTAATGTACATGATGTAGGCTACTTATATTCTTTCCATGAAAATAGATCTAGATGCACACATGGACATCTTAAAACTTATCAAAACATGTGTCTGATATGTTATGAAGTAGCTTTGTTGCCAAAAATCGTGGCCGCAGATGCTAGAAATACAGTCTTTTTGTTTAGTTTTTGTATTTAAGAGACTATATGGAAAACTAAGCATATGTAAAATAGTTGTAGCTTTAGCTCTCTATTTCATGTCATTGACATTCTGTGCATAGGAAATATCTTTGGCTTTTTACTGAATTACATTTCTTTATCATTTGCTCGTACCTCAAGACCGAAAATGAAGCAGTATTTCTAGCTAAGTCAGTTACTTGCTCTATTTTTTAAAATATTGTTTATATTAGCATGTTGCATATCTTTGATGTTACCATTCAAATACTTTTCTCCCAACACTGTTACTTGTTAAATGTGGTTGACTATGTGCGCCTGTATGTTATCTTTTTATTTTGTTTTGTTCCTTGTGATCATATAAAATATCCCTTTTAAATGTTTTTGCTTGCATTGTTGCACTTTCAACATTTTAAAAAATTATATTGTAGATGGTTGTGAAAAAGAGGGTTCTTGTGGTCTAGAGTTACGGCGTTTGCCTCTCATTCAATAAGTTCCAGGTTCGAAACCTGACTGTGGCGGAAAATTTTCGTCTTTAAGAAAAATTTATCCTTGCCTATTCTTTAATCATTTTCTGTCATGTGCTTTCGTCTCCACTTTCTGCCCCCTTCCCCTCCCTTTTGCCCCCTCCTCTGAACTGCTGACTCTTTCTACTGTTTTTCTATTACTACTCCTTGGCTCCTTCTTACAGCTATTTTTCAACCACACCTCTGATCTTAGGGTAGGTAAGATCACCTAGCCTTCTCGGTTAATGGCGAAAAAGTCTCGGTGTAAGTGTGCATATTAAAGATCCCTTGGTGCTAAAATCGCCAAGAGTGGGCTCTGGCCGCCATCAAAGTAGAATTCAAAATTAATTCCTACCTAACTAAAAATGCTTAACAATAACATGTCCATGGGCTTTCAACTCACTGGGCAGTGATCATAAACTTTGTTTTGCTGGTTTACAGTCCTAGGGAATAAATCTTCTTTTAGGAGGTGTTTGTACTTGGAAGCCTGTACATTTTCAGTTGTTCTGAATAAATATATGATTATACACATGATACAAACATATGAGCTATACAATACTTTTGCTTACTACATCATTATCATAAAGATAGTGGAAACAGAAGTGCTCTTTTTAGGTTGTGCTCTTGATACCTGTGTGTAAGTGTAAGTGATAAGCTATCCCGATATATGGGACACTCTTTCTTCATTGTGTTATTATTAGGACTGTAAAAGTGGATGGTTGGTATTACTTAAGTATTGTTTGCTTATTTTGCTTTTTCTCGATTTAGTTACAAGTACATTTGTATTGTGTACCTTGACTTTCCTATTGTTAGAGCTATGTTTATAAAGATAATTTGACCACTATACATGTTCATTGTGTTGTGGTTCAGCTTGAAAGAAGTGTTTGTTGTCTACAAATGCACATTTTCAGTTTTTTGTTTTTGTTTTTTTCTGAGCTATTCTACCTCCCCGGGGCGGTGCCACTGACTGAAGTGTCTTTAGGCCATTCCCAGAGGGAGGGCATTTCTCGTTCATGCACAGTAGACCTGTAAATGGGCTGATTCATCAATGTCATGCTCATAACTCTGTTGACATCCACCCCTTGGCGCTCATATGACCTTATGCAGTTGCGAACGCCACAAGACCTCTACTAAAACTAAAACTAAACTGAGCTATTCAAATAGTTTTTCCACAATGCTAGTTATAAATGCTTGCCACCCAAAGTTCAATCTTGTTTAGATTTTTAAATGCACTGCTCTACATCGTATTCATCTATTCTATGGTCTCTTAGTCTTACACTACTTTCCAATATGACTTTTCTATCCTTTTGCAAGTCCTTAATATTGGAAATTTGCATCTTTCTTCATCACTTGTGAGAGTATCTTAACTTTTGTAATATGATGAGTACATATATTTGAAATATGAATTTCTTAAACGCTTGCAGGGTTCTGTTACTTGCTGATGCATAAGCCTAAGAAAGAACTCTCCAGTTAAATTTACAGTTTCAGAGTACATATGTAGTCTTGTTTGTGCTAGAGCTAGCTGTCCTCAGAGAAAGTTGCATTTGAAAATAGCAAAAGTTGCAAAAAGTTGCGACAAAAATTAGCAAAAGTTGCAAGAAAAGTTGCAAGACGCGTATAGCTAAAACAATGCCACAGAACTATTGGAATACATTGTTGCTGTGCTCATTGCTATCAAAAGTAACCAATATGAGTATGAGTTTTGTTAGATCAAGATCAGAAGTTAAATTTGAATGTCTACAAAAAAAGCATCTGCATGGAGGTTGCATGGTGTACAAAAACAGTGTCCCCTGACACATGCGTCAGGTCCTGGCACTCTCGCTGACGTTGGGCAGGTGTGACCAGCGTGGTTTTGGGGCTGTTCAAATACTTGTATAATCTTTCACTTTTTTACGCCCCAATCCCGTAATATTACATTATTCGCTTATAATAATAATATGACATTTATATTGCGCAAATCCGTGTTACAATCACTCTTCTATGCGCTTTACTTTTAAATTATTAATATAGTATTCATGAAAAACATGCATACACACATGTGACATAATTCAATACGGTACAAGCGGAACTTTTCCAGAAAAACTTAAGGTGCCATTTTACCACTTTT